GATGTGCACTTACCCTTTATATAAAACTCTCTCTTATACATATGAGTTTCTGTGGATTTGTTTCTCTAAAGTACCCAGACTAACACAGCTGTGTTCCCCAATGTTTGAATGTCTTCTTCCTAGGAGGCTCCTTCTAGACTTAATGTTCCTTCTGGAAATATAGATCCAAGTGTGTTTCCTTCTGAGTCTTTGGCTGGGGAGCCAAGACGACAGGAGAGAGGCAGCCTCAAAGTTGTGCACTAGTTAGTCACCTTCTGCTTCTAGGTCTCAGTCTGCAGGACCCACAGAAGGGGTAGGCACTGAAGAATCACACTGTGGGTGTTTGCTTGCAGGCTGTTAAGGATCTAATTATGCCCCAGTAAAACAGGTGCTGTAACACACATGAAAGCACACTAGTGGTTGCAATCCCATGAGGGAACTGGGTGTTCTTTGTTATGTTAATGAGGCTATAATCCATGTAAGGTATGTCTTAAGACCATTTTTAAAACAGTTTTATTGTCATATAATTCACATATCATACAATTCAATAGTTCAATTACATCAAAAAGAGTTGGCCTTCGCCACAAGCAGTTTTAGAACATTCCCTTTGCTCTTGTACTCATCATGACTAGCACCCCACTTTCCCCCCAGTACCTCCTGCCATACCCCTAATCCAAAGGAAATAAACTTACTGCCATCGAGTTGATGCTGACTCATACGGACCCTGTAGGACAGGGTAGAACTGCCCCTGTGAGTTTCCAAGGCTGTAACTGTTGATGGGGGCAGAAAACCTGTGTTTCTCTCAGAGAGACTGGTGGTTTTGAACTGTAGACCTTGTGGAATACAGCCCGACTTGTGACTTGTAACCACTAGACCACCAGGGCTCCTCTGCCATACCCCCAAGGAACCATTGATGTAGTTACTGTCTCAATAGATTTACCTATCCTGGATTTCATGTATTAAAGATCATAAAAAATCAAAAACAAGAAAACCTCAACTAACAACAGTAACAAAATAAAACAGATAAAAACCTCAAATCAAAAAGAAAGCCGAACCTTTAAAAGAAACTGGAACAAATTTCAAACGGATCCAAAGGGAGGTCAAATGATAATGTGTTAAAGTTTAACCTAGCTCCAGCTGCAGCCATCCACTCCGGTGCATTCTGCTCGATGGCAAGGCTACTCTGAGCCCCGGTCTATGGTCAGAGGGAATTCACCAGAGGCTTAGTGCATGTGTAGTTTCCTTTCCCAATTTTTAACTGAAACACATTGAGATGAGTCAAAAGGGAGACCAGATGATAAGATATTACATGTTAACCTAGCTATGTCTGTCGTAATTGACTTTATAATGCTCTCTGTCTGGTGATTTGGGTGAGAGAGTTCACAGAGCAAATTTTCCATTCAACAAGCCCTACCGACAGTAACTTGGTTCCTGACTTTGATGGCAATCTCCATGACATGACAGCACTCTCCTCACTCTCTCCCTGTGTTGACAGCTTCCATCGGCCTTCTTCCCTGTCCCTTTGTGCCTTCT